TGATGATGATGATGATGATAATTCTTTATTGTCCGTGCACAACGTGTACAATGAGATTGGTTGAGCTCCCTCAGTGCACCCCCCCAACACAATACAACTCACAAGGAAGACCAAAAGAAGAAGAAATATCCCCAACTCAATAAATCATATTAAGAAACCCATCACACCAGTATGAACATGTTACACGTTGTTATTCCCGAAAGGAGCAACGGCCAGGCAAAGTCCCGGAACCGAGAGGCTTAAAAAAACCATCAGAGAGCAAGGAAAAGGCCGGCTTCCAAAGCGGGGGACCTCCGTCCCAACTCCGGTCAAAAGTCGTTAACGAATGGTTCTTCCCTCAGCCTTTTCGCAGTGAGCGGGAGCCCGGGGGGGGGGGGGACAATTAGACCCAGGTTGCGGCCTAGCTTCGCTCCGGCTGCTACGGAAGCCTCCCACCGCTCTCTTCCCACCCACCCCACCCCCACCCCTCGGCCCTTCCTGCTCTCACCTCGAGTCCTGCGTGGCTGCCTGAGGAACCGGGCTCCAAGCGCCTCGGAGAACCGCCGAGGCCGCTACCGCCCGCCCGCGGATTCCCCCACCCCCCTTTTGCCTCTGAGCCACTCAAACAAACAAGATGGCGGCCGCTCCTCTTCCTGCCGCCCAAACCAGCCGTTCAAAATTCGGCAGGATGTTTACCGTTTAAAAAAAAAAAGGAAGAGGAGACAGATGGGCCGCGGTGCGCCTGCGCCGACGTCGGGGCGTCCACGTTCTCCTGGCTCAAAGAAGGGAGGGGAGGAGAAGCCACGCACCAGGCGAAGGCGGCACGCAGCGGTCGCAGGATCGATCCTGGCCAATGGGACGGAAGAGAAGATGCTTTCGGCATCGTATTGGCTGAGGATATAGAGCAGGGGCCGTCAGTCATGGGAGGGACCATCGTTATCATAAAGCGGCACGCGAGCGGGCGAGAATAGAAACTCCTGCAATATTTCTAACTGCTTGCCCGGGGGCGGGGGAAGATTGCTGGATATTCGCAAATATAGGATATTTTTTGGCTGTTACTTTGTTCAGTGTTCCTTGGAAACAAGAAAAGGAACACGGGATTTTGCATTAGAAAAATATCTTGCATTAAGCAAATATTTCCTTACGGGGCGTGCAGCTTGGCAGGAGGCTAACAAAGCAACTGCACAAGTCGAATGAAATTGTCAGACATATTTGCACAGGATTGCAATTTTGCTTGTGGATTTAAAAAGTTGAGGCTTTTGTTATTTCTTAAACTTCAACTGCGAAATCTGCAGCTAAAGTAAATAATTAAGTGCTTATGATGAATGATATTAATTCCTATTGTGAGGTGTTTGGGCTGTTTTTCCCAGTTGGTTGCTTCATTCTCTGTTTTTTCTTTCTGAATCGAGGCTAATTTAGGATAGACACCGCCATAAAGTTTAATGGAGATTTTCAATCATCAGGTCAGGGTTGTACAGAGGTGTTTTTTCCAGTTCCTTAATTTCAGTACCAAACTTAATTTCATAAGCATTTTGAATGCCAACTGATGAATCTTCTGATTGCAAACCTTTATTGATCCACAAGCACTCAATATCCTAATGGGAATACATCTTACAATAGATTATAATTAATTTTAATATTTTTGTTTTGCTAGCCATTGTCTAAGGACATGAGATCCAAAACAAATAAATCTAACCTTATGAAAATCTAAACATTACGAAGAGAAACAAAGATAGTATAATAATCACAAGTTTCCTAGTAACATTTGGAACACAAGGAACAAATTCTATAATAGCTTGTCTCTAAATTTGATGTATAAAATATGGGCATAAAAAATAAGAATATGGAAGAGTACTTGGAATAAAATTCAAGTACTGGAAGAATGTTGCAGAAATCCTGGAATTATGTTAATAAAATGAATAAAGGATGCTTGGTGGAATGACGGATAATGACTCAGCTTTAATTTCTGTGTCCCCTGAAAATAAGACACGCTTTCTTTTGACAAATAACCATTTGGTCTTATTTTCGGGGAGGTCTTATTATTTTTGAGGTGCAGGAGGCAGCGAGTGGGGTCACCTCATGGCTTCTGCTATGTTGCAATATTTTCAGGGAGGGCTTATTTTAGTGCATGCGCTCAAAAACCTGTTTGGGTTTATTATCCGGGGAAGTCTTATTTTCAGGGAAACAGTATAGAATGTGAGTATAAGTTTGATTGCTAAATGTAATATATCTACAAAGTAAAGCAAAAGAGAGATTAAAGGGAATATTTAGTATTGTTTGCCATTACTTGTTCAGTGTGTTTATAAAGGAATGTATGAAAATGTTTTTTGTATTATAGAGGTGTTCTAGTCAGGGATGTGGATATACTTTTGTGTATGTTCACACACAGAGAGGTAGTCCTTGATTAATAACCACTCGTTCAGTAACAGTTTGAAGTTGCACTGAACAAATGACACTTATCAGACCTCAAAGTTCTGGCTGTAACAGTAACCCCATGGTCATGTGATTGTGATCTGGGCACTTGGCAACTGACTCGCCGTTGTAGCATCCCAGGGTCATGTGATTGTCATTTCTCATGGCTTCCTATATGCCAAGTCAATGCAGAAGCCAGCAGGGAAGATTACAAATCATGCCTGCTGTTTTTTCTCCCAGCGATCTTGTACTCCAGGGCCATCAACTCAATTTCATTGAGGGCCACATCAGGGTTCTGTTTTACTTAAGAGGGCCAGGATGGGCGTGGCCAGATCAACGCCACTCGTGTGGGGGGCTCCTGTGGCAGTCTGAGCGCTCTGCCAGTGAAAACGGGCTACCAAACTCCATTTCCGGCTGCGACGGCCTCTTGCAACCCTCTGCCAGTGAAAGCGGAGTTCGGGAGGGGCACATGCATCCCTTCTGAGCTCTGTTGTCACTGGCACAGGCTTTGCCGGCTGGTCCTTCACTGTTTTCATGGTGGCCCTGTGGGCTGGATCTGTCCCTCGGGCCTTGAGTTTGATACCCCTGTTCTACTCCTTAGCATGCTTACTTTGCAGCATCCCCTCCCTACCTTCCATACACTCTCCACAGCATCCCCAGCCTTGGTAGTATTCCATACTGCCTCTGAGATTCCCAGGATTTGCAACTTATAGATATGCGCAGATAAAATTTATAAGATTCCCTCATCTCACTTGCATGTGACTCTCGGTGGCATAGACAATTAGAACAGAAACTAATAGTCACAAAATCAAAGCATTAAAACCAAATTATAATCACATGAAGTATTACCGTGTTTCCCCAAAAATAATACAGGGTCTTATTTTCTTTTGCCCCATGAAATATGGCCTTGGGCTTATTATAGGGGGAGGGCTTATTGTTTTGGGGTTGCCGGGCAGCTGCTCCCTTGAGAACTGGCTCCCGAAGAGCTGGGCACAGCCTCAGGGGTGAAGCATCCATGAGGTTACCATGCTCATGAACAGCTGCCCGGCAAACCCCCTCTCCAACTGGGCAGAGCGCCATTCACTGACCTAGGGGTTATCCCTAAGGCACCAAAGCATGTGGCGCTCTGCCCGTTCCCCAGCTCCTGCGGCTTGGCACATTCGGGATGCCCCCTAGGTCAGTGCATGGAGCTCTGCATGGCTGGAGCAGGGGGTTGCGCAAGTACTGTTCCGTCCCTGCCGCACTCCAAGCATAACTTCTCCAGCTTCCAAACTCTAAAACTCGGCTGCCAAGTCTTCCAGCAGCGGCCGCTCTAGGAGTGTGCTCTATGGTTGTGGGCCGTCTGGTGGACAGAGTCTTCTGGACAGAGAGTCTTCCAACAGCCAGCCCACAACCATAGAGCACACTCCTAGAGTGGCCGCTGCTGGAAGACTCAGCAGCCGAGTTTTGGAGTTTGGAAGCCGGAAAAGAAGTTATGCTCAGAGCGCGGCAGGGGCAGAACAGGCACTCGCGCAACCCCCCTCCGCTCCAGCCGGGCAGAGCTCCATGCACTGACCTAGGGGATATCCCGAGCCGCGGGACCTGGGGAGTGGGCAGAGCGCCACGTGCCTTGGCGCCTTAGGGATATCCCCTAGAGGGGGTTTGTCAGCTGCTTCTCCCCTGAAGCTGTGCCCAGCTCTTTGGGAGCCAGTTCGCAAGGGAGCAGCCGCCCGGCAACTCCCCCTCCAGCCAGGCAGAACGCCACTCTCCAATCTAGCGGTATCCTGAAGGTGGCAAGCAACATGAGCGCCTTTCCCCCCGGCTCCCGCGGCTTGGCACCTTCGGGATACTGCTAGGTCGGTGAGCGGTACTCTGCCTGGCCAGAGGGGGGGTTATCCAGGGGGCTTATTTTCAGGGATGGGCTTATATTTTTGCCCACGCGAAAAATGTGGCAAGGCGTTAGTTTCAGGACAGATCGTATTTTCAGGGAAACACGGTAGTAAGACCACACCTGGAATATTGCATCTAGTTTTGAGGGTGCAAAGAAGAGCAACTAAGATGATTTTAACCTGGAGACTAAAAGCTATGAAGAACAATTGTAGGATTTTGGTTTGGCAAGTCTAGAGAAAAGAAGGACTGGAGGGACATGATAGAAGTATTCCCATATTTGGAGGGCTACCACAAAGAGGAGGGGATCAATTTATTTTTCAAAGCACCAGGAGGCAGGACAAGAAACACTAGATGGAAACTAATGAAGGAGAGAAGCAACCTGGAATTAAGGAGAAACTTCCTAACAGTGAGGTCAATTAACCACTGGAACAGCTTGCCTTCAGAAGTCGTGGGTGCTTCATCACTGGAAGTTTTTAAGAAGAGTCTGGACAGTCACTTGTCTGAAATGGTATAGGGCAGTCATGCTGAACCTTTTAGACACCAAGTGCCCAAACCGTACATGTGCATGCCCAAACTGAAAGGTGTGTGTGCATGCACAAATGTGTGCAGATGTGCAGGCAGGCATGCATGCATAGGCATGTGCAGACATGCTCACATGCATGCATGGAGATGAGCATGCGCAGATATGCACATGCGTGGAGATGGGCATGCATGGAGATGCTCATGTGCAGCAGAGACCGGAAGATCAGCTGGCTGGCAGAAGGCAGGGCATCCCAACACTGGCAGCGCAGCAAGAGGTAAGATTTTTTTTTTCTTTCATGAGCTTCTGTTTCGTCGTTTGCAGGGAAACAGAAGCTCACAAAAGAAACGCCAGGGAGATCTGACCTGGGATGACAGCGTGCATGCCAGCAGAGAGGGTACTGTGTGCCACCTCTGGCATGTTTGCCATAGGTTCGTCATTGGGGGTATAGGGTCTCCTGCTTGAGCAGGAGACTGGACTAGAAGACCTCCAAGGTTCCAGCTCTATTCTGATTCTAAAATAAACTACAGTAACAAAACATACAGAATGGTGCAATCAAAATGTATACACAGTGCAACCATTTAACAGGCTTCACATGTCCATGGGAATTCCCACTTAGCACTTTTCCAAGATACAATGGCATCAATGAATGCGATCAAGTTCTGAGTTCTTAACAACCTGTTTGTACTTTTGCCTGGATGGTGTCAAAATAAGGCTGAGCATATTCCTTTGATACTGGTACAACTGAAGATGACTTAAACACCTCTCAACCATAGTGATATGAATATCATGGCATAAAGAAATATTTGCCAGGGCATGTTTGTGCTGTGGTTTGGTGCAGTGG